AATCAAATAGGAATTGATATCGTTCAGGGAATTGGAATTATATTGACCGATGATAAGTTGGAAATCGAACCGGCAGATTAACATGTTATAATCACTTATTTTATAATCACTTATTTGCTCTGTTCTTTAAATTCGATTCTGAACCTACAAACCCCCCGCAGTCGTTTATGTTGGTTAATAACAATACAAGAACCCTCGTGATACGATTTTTGAGTCACAGTCGCTAACTACCGTTTATAAAATCACTCGTTTTGATTTGCGCGCGACAGTGGATCAAATTGGCATCGTATTTTTTGTTTTGTTTTTCTGCATTTTTCTGTAATTTTTCTGCGTTTTTCCACGTCTTCCTGCATTTTCGCGTCCGAATGTTCGACCTGTTATGAATATCTTGTTTTCTGAAACATTGTGTTCGATTCAATATGTGTTTTGCCTATTGGGAGCAAAAAAATCATAGGATCATTAATCCCTTACTCTAAAAGAGTTAAGGATTTCACCGTCAAATTCCCAAATTCTTTTTCTTCTTCTAGTTTTTATGAACTTTTTACTGTTTTCATAGTTTCGAAAAATTCCAAAAACAATTCCAAAATTCTTCTTTCACCTAATTAGATTAAATTTTGTGTTTTTATACTTTCTGAATTTATTTTAATCATATTCCTTCTTTCAATTTATTTTTGCCTACTTGGGACATTGTTGGTATTTTTGCTTTTGATAACATGGCTGATCAAAGAACACTAAGGCAACTTGTTGCTCCTGATGTTAATTACAATGAATTATATATTGAATATGTTGATGTTGATGTTCCTTTTGAGTTTCAATCTGGTTTAGTACAGTTGTTTCCAAGTGTTGAACCCCAAAATTGGCCCTCCCATTTTTATTCAAGACATTCTCCCAGGATTCTCAAATGCTCAGGGTTGCTCAAGAATTGATCAGACAAATTCTCCTCCTAAGCAATGGACTTACAACTAGGGTTTCACTTGTCTCAAGGAAGACTGGGTTTCTAATGCCTCAAGTGGGTTTCATGGTCTCTTACATGTATTCAAGAATGTTCATACCAAGTTCCATGCCTTACATCACAAGTTTGCTCAGATAACTGAAAATCAATTGTATTGACAAAAAGTCAAATATGGTCAACATAGAGTCAAAATTCAATATTTTTGGTCAAACTCAATATTTTGAAGTCATATTCATCATTTGATCAAGTTTTAATCATGATTCATCAAGAAAACACTCAATTCATGAAAATATTAAAGTTAATAAATTAGGGTTTTCTTAAGGAGAAATCAACTGAACTTTGACCAAGCAAAACTTTCACATGCTTCATCAGATTTTCCTCAACCAAAACTCATATTCAAGGATATTAAATTCTATACAACTTTGTCTCTCTAAGATCAAGTCCAAAAGATACTTCATTTGAGAGATATAGGTCAAAACATTATAGGTCATTTCAAAAGTCAACAAAAAGACACTTTTTGTCAAGGCAACTTACATCAAGATAAAATCCTCAAATAAAAAAGTGATTAACATAGAGATTATAGAGGACATCTTGAGATTTCCAAAAAGTCTAAGATTACCCTCAAATGGTAAAAATTGAGAGAATTATGACTAGTGCAAGTTGTGGAAAATTGAGAAAATGCATGAAGCTTATATCTACTTCATGCACACCTTAACATTTTTACTCTATTTATTTTTATTTTATTTATTTTAAATTCAAAATTAAATAAGATAAAAGACAAAACTTCTTACACAAGTCCAAGCCCATGTTTATTTGACCTAATTTCACCCCTATATATTCTCTGCATTCAGACAAACCCTTGGACACGAAAATATTTGCAAGAAATACCTCTCAAAATTCTCAAAAAATCATTCAAACTGGGGCAACCTTAGAACCCTAATTGCAGCCACCATCAAAGCATTCCAATTGTTCCATTCTCTTCCAGGAGAACTACATAGTAAGAATGGATCAAATTTGATGATCCAAAGCTCATAAAACCCGTATGCGTACATCTCCGATCTCATTATCTTTGTAAATTCATATTTGGATTTTTGTATTGTTTTAAAGGCATGCTAACGCTATCAATATTTTTCTGAGATGTGTTTATACAAGCTAAGATCATTGCATGAGTCCCACACTACCATAGTCATGAATCTCCATGTTCTTACCGATCCATGATAATTTTGATATATCTCCTAAACCAGCATATTTTAGCCCAGGATAATGGTCCCATTGAATTTGCAGACCTTAATTTAGGGGGGTAGGATACCTTTGGACCCCTAACATTTGTTGTTTTTGCAGGTTTGAAAAATATACTCACCGGAGAAGACGGTCGGAGCTAGGGCTCTGGTGCCTCTCTGGTCCAGCCAATTGATTTTGTAATATAATTATTTCGTCTCAGTTATATCATCGAATGTATCACCATCCCAGTGGTAGCACGCTTGCCTCTAAATCATTCATATACAAGGCGTGAGTTCGATTCCAACCTTTTGTAATTTTTCATATTTTCTGTCTTTTACAGATCTAGTACAACACGCCCCCACATCAATGATGCATCCTCAGTGCCGCATCCATCTGATGCTTCCAGATGCGCTCCCCACGATGCATCTTCGTTGATGCCACACACTGGATGTCAGAAGCCAGCGCTTGGGTCTGGACCCCTTTTGCAATCTGCACCCCCCGGTTGGCTACAACCAGGCCCAATTCTTTTCCTTTTTATATTTTTCTCTATTTTATCTTACATATTTATTTTTATTATTAATTTAAATAAATATTAGTTTAGGTTAATTAATTAAGTTTAATTTTAATCGCTTTTTTTAATTAATTAATTTAACTAATTAATTTTCTAATTAAAATTAATTAGATTCTTAGGGTTTTTTAATTAAATTAATTGAATTTTTTTACTAAAATTAATTATATTATTAGGTTTTTTTAAATTCATCACAAATCATTTTTTTTCATAAAAATACCAAAAAATCTTTTCCTTTTTATTTTTCACATTTTTAGATCGATTGCGCGAACGCAATTTTTATTTCTCGCATTTCTTTTCTTTTCATTATTATGTAACTATACACGGGTTGTAATAGCTTAGAAATTTTATTTTGCGCTTTCTATTATGTATCTTTCCTGAAGCGATGTAATAGTTTAGGGTTTACATTCTGCCTTTACTTTAGGCACTTTATGTTTCTGCTATTATTTTACTATATTGTTGCTTAGTAATTAGGTCTTGCATGTGAAGACTAATAACGAATCGATAGCTAACCCTAACGCAAAAATTTAAATAACTGAAAATAAATCACTCACACACTCACACCTCTAGGGTAACCTACCTTGTTGCTTTTGGAAAATAAGCATTCATGTCCCTCAAACGTGGGGGCGCTTTAGCAAAGTCCCTCAATACAAAGATCATAGTCCCTCGATGACCATTCGACATTTCCTTCTGATAAATGATCTAGTCCCTTAACAAAAATTGCTAAAGCGTCCTTACCAGTGGCCTTTAGTGACTGTACGATGACCCTCGTTTGTCCCTTCATATCTAACGATAGGGCTTCCTACTAACTAATGGTAATATAAAACTATCTAAAGGAGGAGGAAAAGCACAAGAACAACCTTGAGTAGGGTATATCTTAATCGATTGCTCACAAAGCTCTTCAAAATAAAAAAATATTTCTCACAATCACACTTTCCAATAAACATTTTCAAACAAACACTTTGTACGTATTCTCGAGGACAGATACGAGAATCATTACAAAGTTTCGCCTTACATTGGCGACTTTTTCAAAATATTTTCAAACCCACATCACAAAGAAATTTAAAAAAGTGAGCTAAGCGATTAAGAGCCCGTAGATAATTGCGGATAAAAAGGGTGCTAACTAGAACTGTTTAAAAAATCTATGAACTGAACCACTAAACTAAATAGAATTGAAGTTAAAATAACCAAACCATTATATTTGGTTAGTGAACTGAACCACTATTTTACTAACGCTTCTAGAACCGAACTAAATTAAAATTAACCAAACATAAATCAAAACTGAACCATTAATAAACATGAAAATTAAACTCTATCTTTGAAATTGAAAACACAACTTTCATGATAAGCTATTTTGTTTAGATAGCTAATATCATCTGAAAAGTGATTCTGAAAATAAGCACTTTTGTGCGTTCATGAAGCTTAGATTCTGAAACAAACAAAGGCTTCTAAAAATCATGTTTGTGGTGATTCTGAAAAAAACCACAATCCCTCTTTGATTCTGAAAATCGCGTTTGTGGTGATTCTGAAAAAACCCACAGTCCCTCTTTGATTATTATGTTCTATTACCAAATCGTTTACATCAGGTTATTCATCTTCTCTATAACTTCACCTTTTCTCTACATCTTCTATTACCGTCAATTTCTATGTCTTTTTTTACCCAATGGAATCTAGTAACATGTTTTATTCAAATACTTTACTATTTACTGAATATATGGCTTTAACTTGAATGACCATTAACTGTTTATTAAAATGTTTCTTCCAACTGTTCAAATTTTCCATCATATATTTTGTCCCAAATGAAGCTATGTTGTATTTTCTGGATTTGTTTACATATTGGATATGGTTTCAAATATTTACAAGTTGATTACTTGAATCTAAAGTGTAACCAGAGGCTAACATTCAGATCAAGTTTGAATTCGGCAGCAATGGAAAACTGGATTGTTGAGAGAGTCAACCCGTGATTTCATTGTAATAAGAGAGAGAGAGCCTTTGCAGTTTCTATTGCTTCATCACTTGATATCTGCCAAATCACACATATCAGGATTTGGTAGGAAGTGCTTTAGGAGTCCAATTGTAATAGATAAAAAAAGTTCGAACAAAAAAACTATAATTCAAGTCACTAAGAGATATTTAGATATAATAAAATGCTCTATCTTTAAATCTTTTAATATGATACATGACGGGGCATTACAATTTTTTAGAAAACATTGAAACATACTTGAACTACCAATCAAATGAATGACTTAAAATTCAACCATGATGTTGGGATTCTGCTCTTTAAGATATTTCCCAGCACCTGTTATAGTACCACCAGTACCTATACCACTAACAAGTGCATCGACTTTGTCTCCGGTACCTTTCCATTGGGGCAGTGGCTTCATAATTCACCTATAAATACAATGATATAACATATGTGTCACCCAATGATGTCAAACATTAACTATCAATAGTTGTAGAAATAGTTATACTAATTAAAGTATCTAATTGTTCATTTTTTATGCTTTCTTATAGTTTCTATGGAGTAGTAATCTCAATTAGCAAACTACAAATTTCTTATATGTTTAGTTTTTATAGCATGCACGGTGGGGTTTAGTTTGTTGAAGATAAAACAGAAATTTTAGAAGTTGGACTTCCTCTTTTATTTAGGACTAATAATTTAAGGCTCAATTTCAATTTGATCATTTTGTTTTTGTATTTGTAGAAGGGAGAAAATAAAAAAAGAGAAATTTCTTGTTTCTGTTTTCTTTTCCTGCCAGTTTAGTTTTTGATGAAGCTCAGTTTGACTTGTCTTGCATTGTTTCTTAAGGTGGTATGTTACTTTATGGTTTAAGTTCTAATTTTGCTATTCTTTTTATTAAATAGATGATATAGAATGTATAGAATATAAGTCTTACAACTTTATCTAGCACTCATGATGAAGCTATATTGCCACCACATCCCAAAGAAAAAAAGCGTCAATTGCAGTCTGATATGTGGAACCACTTCCCCGCGGTGGAAGGTGATGAGAAAAAGGCTAAATGTCAATACTGTGGAGTCTTAATTAAGTAAAGTAACAGAACAAGTGGTATGCAGACTCATCTAGGTAGATGCACTACTTATGATCATGATAAAACCCAAGCCACCCAACCAAACAAAAGGAGAAAAACCAATTCAGAAGGGAAAGTAGTTTGATCAAGAGGAATGTCGAGCGCTACTTGTGAAAACATTTATGTGTTGTAAGCTTCCATTCTGTTTTATGAAGAATGAAGTCTTTAGAAAGTTATTAATCACTTTGCAGCCTTGGTGTTATATCCCATCACGGTCTACATTAAGGCATGATATTTGGGTGCTCTACCTTGAAGAAAACGAGAAATTGAAAAAGTTCTTATCAAATTGTGGAAGAGTTTGTTTGACTACTGACACTTGGACTTCAACTCAAAACTTAAGTTACATGAGTTTGACCGTGCATTTTGTGGACAGTGAATGGAAGATGCATAAGAAAATCATCAACTTTTGTCAAATCACGGGGCACTCGGGTCAAATGATTGGAAAATATGTTGATGATTACTTAAGAGGTTAGGGGTTGAGTCAAATCTTGACCATAACGGTTGACAATGCTTCTGCAAACACCACTATGATTAAGCATCTCAGCATAAGGATGGGATCTTGGAGTAATCTTGTTTTGAATGGGGAATATGTTCACATGCGTTGTTGTGTGCATATCTTGAACTTAATTGTAAAATCTGGATTGAAGGAGGATAAAAGTTGCATTAAAAAAATTCTTCATGCGGTTAAATTTGTCAAATCTTCTCCTAGCAGACTAGTCAAATTTATGGAATATGTGGTGCAGGAAAAAGTTACATACAAAGGTGTTGTTATCCTTGATGTTGAAACTAGATTGAATTAAAATTATTCAATTTTGAAGGTTGCCTTACAGTATCAAAAAGCTTTTGACTTACTCTATGCACGAGATAAGACATTTCACGAAGAAATGGACAAAACAAATGGGGGAGTTAAGAAAGAGGATTGGGCATATGTTGCATCAGTGCTTCCCTTGCTTGAGATGTTTTACAAATAGTTTGTCTGGATCATTATATGTCACTAGTGCTTCATATATGGAAGAGGTATTCACCATTGGAAAAGGGATAAATAAGCATTTAGAGAGTAATAAAGAGCACATCAAAAACACGGCGAATAAGATGAAAGGTAAATTCAACAAGTATTAAGGAAATCCTGACACAATAAACATCTTACTATTGATTTCTTTTGTTCTTGATCCAAGGGTGAAATTGACTATTGCAGATTTTTATATTGATCTTTTATATGTTGACACCGGAAAAGTAGATGATTTAAAAAAATGAAGTCTTCTCTTTCAGAACTTTATGTTCAATATCGAGGTTTTGATGACTCTCAATCTAGCCAAGTAGACACACCGCCAAATAAGGATGATGATGATAATATTTTCTGGCACTACAGTCAAGAAATTGGGCATAAGTCTGATCCTAAGACTGAAATTGAATCATATCTACAAGAAACATGGGTATCATATGTTAAAATAATTGAGTTTGACATCTTAGGTTAGTGGAAAGTCAACTTAACTAGATATCCTATTTTGGAAAGCATAGCTCGAGAAGTGTTGGCTATTCCCGCCTCTACTGTAGCTTTAGAATCTGCTTTCAGCACTGGTGGAAGGGTTATTAGTGATTATCGCACTTGTCTAACACCTTAAATGGTGGAAGCGCTTGTTTGCACGCAAGACTGGTTGAAAGGAGAATCAACCTCCTTATTTTCTAAGGAGAACCTTGATGAGATCCATCAATTATAGCATGGTAAATCAATTTTCTAACGTTTTTTATTTATAATTTTCCAACTTATTGTTTCATTTATTCTCGTGCCAACCGGCGCTGCCGCATTAGAAGGATAAGCTCTAAGGATAAAGGTAAGAAGCCCTAGTAACAATATCAAATTTTTATCAATTAAATTAGAAACTGTGTAAGTAGTGTTGTTGTTTTGTTTGCAATCAGAAGAAGAAGCATTTGGTGCTAGATATTCATTTTCACTTTGTGACTTGTTCTTGATTTGAAACTCTTGTTTTTCAAGCATTAGGTTATGGCATTGTACTCTGGATTCATCTCTTTCTTTGATGACTCCGCTTAAAAGATCGTTGGCATGAATTAGTTCTTTTTTTTGTAATCTTTTCTTTAGCTGATGCAATAGTTGTTGTAGTTTCTTTATCACACTATACCAGCCAGTACAAGACAAAACAACACTATGTTACAGTGAATCAATAGTGAAATACCATGATGAAGATTCTTGCACAAACATTATTAGATTATGGCATAAGAGGATCCATCAGTTTGAGTTTCTAGCTAGTTTTTTTTCTGGTGTCGTTATTCGTTAACACTCAGCTAGCAGTGAGATTGAGTGAGTGGTATAATAGGTTTTGAAGAGGAGGAAGTGATTTAGTGAGTGTATTTTTTATTATTGGTATGGCATTGGAATTGATGTTCCATCTAAATTAATTCAATGCAGTAGAGTATCATAGATGACAATGCTTTTATGGTGGTTCTTCATTACCTGTTCCATGTTTCCACGGTAATGAATGTATGAATTGATTTTGTATCTTTATTGATACTATAGCAAGATATTAGTACATTTCCATGGATCACTTATGTTTTTCTACTGATGTATGCCAGAACTATATCTATTTGTGCACTTGGTTATGAAGTTATAACTATTGCTTTTGTAAAAGTGAGTTATGAAATGGATCTTCATTCTAATCTTTACTTTGTTTGTATACTAATTTTTTATTTTGCTTTGTAGAGATAACATCTCAGACATCAGTTGTTAATCTTGATGATGATGAAGGCTTTGCAAGTTAAAGTGGAATAACCAACATCAAAGCCTCTCCTCTCCAAGTCATTCTCACTCCACGTTTGTTAGCCCAAGCTTATAGTCAAAATTAATGTTCACGTTAGGAATAAATAAACATGATTTTTTCTAAGCATGGTGTAATGTGATATGTAAATACAATGAGACTCCATTTCTAAATAAAAATGCAAAATTTTAAGTGTTTTTATAGTTTAAACACATATTAACTATATATATAATAAGGAATCTCTTTTATCTTATTTAGTTTAAGAAGACCTAAGTCTAAGTCTAATTCTGATCTTGAATTTGAACTCAATTCCAGATACACACTTACCGATGTTTAATTCTCTTAAATGATAGTTTTACTTTTCATTGTAATTCTATTTAATTTTAAAAATTAGTCTTTACAATTGAATGTTAAAACTAATAGAAAACTAATAGAAATACATCTTTCAAGTATTAGTTGGTTATTTCATAAGTCCTTATTTCTATAAGCACTTGTGTTATAAGTTGTAAATAAGCTGTTTATTCAAGTTTGCGATTTTGATTTGAATTAATTTGTGATTTTGATTTTGAATAAGTTAAAAAATTATGTAATAAAATATATTAAAAATATTTATAAAAAAAAATACTATAAATAAATTTAAATAGTTTTTTATTAAAATAAATTCAAAACCAAGTATAACGGTTCGGTTCCTTAACAAATGGTTCAGTTTGGAAAAATTATCTTCTAATGGTTTGGTACGGTTCAAAATTCTGAACCGTTATATCAGACAAAAAGTTTTGGTTCAGTTTGGTCTTAAAAAATTGAAACGGTTCGGTACGGTTCAGATGACTTTATATAATGGTTCAGTTCTTCGGTTGAGTTTTTTGACAAAATTGTACCATGAACAAGCCTAGTGCTAACACCTTACCTTTTCATAATCTACCCCCCGAACTCAAAAATCTCAAGGTCTTTCCTGTTCTTTTGACCCATTCCTTCTTGGATAAAAGAAAATTCGGTGGCGGCTCTTGTTATCCGCAACATTTGCGATAAAATGCAAAACCAAGTCAATTCTCCCACCGTATTACAGAACTGACGACTCTCCTAGGAATCTTAAAAGAGGGGTTACCTTAGAGTTTAGGATCACTTTACTTCTTTTTACTTGTTTGCTTTGACTTCTTTATATTTGAGAGTTGCCCAAATTTTAAATTTATTACAAAGATCCTATACCCAGATCTGGGGATACCCTAGGTAAGTAGCTATAGATCATGAAAACTGTACATCGTAGATCGATATGGTTGCAATGATGGCTACGTTAGTGTGACACATTGATTTGTACTGGTGTTCCTTGAGTAAATCGAGGATAACACAACGCTGTCGCGTGGTGTCATAAGTACTAACTGACCTTTAGAATCTTAATTGACCTAACTAAGCCATTAGAAGGTAGTGATATGGCCGGATTTGGTGCAATCCGAAGTTGGTTGATACTCGATGCTACACTCATTGAGATTTGACTCTCAGGATATTTTGGTGGCACGTCAGTTACTCTGCTAAAACAAAGCATGTGATAAAGATCAATGATATGAGATTCCTAGAACTCGGTTACTGTTCTTAGGACAGGTTGAGCCAACTAAACTTCAAGAGGGTACTTGCCTATGAACCCCATGCAAGCATTAAACCTAAGGCTCTTGTGTGCTTTGTTTGTGTTTGTTATTTGTTCAAACATGACATCATGACATCATACCATATCATTTTCACTGATCGCTCAAGGATATCAAATTCCTGTGATGCAGGTTTATTATGAACCAAACGTCTAGAAAGGGGCAAGGGGATTTATTTTCCTCTAATGCCATCAAAGATCAAATTACTTTCACTTGAGTCAAAGGCTAGGACCCACTCGACACGGTGAGCTTGATTCTCATATAAGGACGTTCAAAGACGCAAAATTCTTCAGTCAAAGCTACAACTAGACTCAACTTCTAACATTTCCTGTTGTTTATCCCGCGAGATCCTTGAAAACATTGCATCCACATATCATGCATGTCATTATATAACACGTATTTCCCAAGACAAGATTTCTCATCTTCTAGTTGTTTATTTCATTAAAGACGGCTCTTGAATAAACTATGAAAGACCTTCAAGCTCAAAACGCCCAATTCCAAGAGACGCTCCTGAACTTAGCCAAGGGGCAGAAAGAACAGCTGGCGCTCATCGC